TGGTGCACAGCCGGGGATCGAAGCTACGACCTCAGGGATGAGAGTCGTACGCTGAAGCCACTAGGCCAACACTGCTCCAATGTTTATGAATATAAAAATAGATTTTTAAACGGTTAATTTTGTTAAGATGAAACCGTAACAAAAATATACAAAATGAGGCCAATTTGAATACCACGAAAATAATAATAAAATAAAGTCAAAACAATAATCGTTTCGATTCATTGAATTATTTTTATTGAAACAATAACAATTAATTTGTCCATAACTCGCCATGTTTGTAGTAGTATTTTAAATGTAACAAATGAATTGGGATTAAAGACACGCGGAATTAATGCTGCAGGAAATCAGCAAATCGTACTGAGGGATATATGGATAGCGATAATAAATTGAAATGTGGAATGAATTATAGCAATGAAACGCGAGTGAGCGTAACAATCGAAATTATATTTTAATTATTTCATTGTATGTTTATCATTTGACTGAAATGTTTTTGAATTAAACACGTTGTGGATCGCGAATTTTTTGACAATTATGTGAGACCCAAATGTGTCTTTGACATTGCTCAGTCACTCCCTCCGTTAACTCTGCGACTCAAAAAGTATTTTGCTCTCCGAAACGAGAAACTTCCAGCGCTGCCGACTCGCCAATTTGAATTCAGCAAATCTATTATCATCTTTTAAGTCTCTAATCATTATAAAACACTAGCTGACCCGGCAAACGTTGATTGCCATGTACCTATTAGGTCCTTAGATATGAAATTGGCGTTTTGTATGGGAGGAACAAAAAGTTGAATATTTTTAAATATAATATATTTAATTAATCAAAGTATGAACCATTGTTTTCTATGCACTTTTGCCATCTCATAGGTAGTTCAAGGGATCAACCCTTTACTAAAAAAAACCAGTCGGACGGGTATCAATAAAATCTGTGAAGGCGATTTGGACTGCCCCATCAGAGTTACATTTTTTCCCTTGCAAGAAGTTGTCCAAATTTCGAAAAAAATGGTAATCTGTTGGAGCAAGGTCCGGGGAGTACGGAGGATGTCTTAGACATTCCAATTGAAGCTCTTCTAATTTGGTAGCCGTCTGTTGTGCAGTGTGTGGTCTAGCGTTGTCGTGAAGTAGCAGTGGCGTGGAGCGATTGACCAGCCTAGGTTGTTTAGCCGCTAGCTTTTCCATCATGGTCTGCAATTGCTGACAATAGACATCAGCCGTAATAGTCTGGCCAGATTTGAGAAAACTGCAATGAACAATACCGGCACTAGTCCACCAAACGCTTACAAGTAACTTTTTTTGGGGTTAATTTTCGCTTGGGGCAGGATTTGGCTGGCTGGCCAAGATCCAACTATTGCGCTGAGCGCTTCCGATTATCGTAAAGAATCCATTTTTCATCACAGGTAATGATTCGGTTTAAAATACCTTCATTATTGTGCCGGTTCAGTAATGTAACGCAGCAGTCGACGCGCGTTTGCCGGTTGGCTTCAGTCAATTCGTGAGGTACCCATCTTTCAAGCTTTTTAATCTTCCCAATTTGCTTCAAGTGAATTAAAATAGTTTTATCACTAACACCGCAGCCTGCAGCAAACTCGGACGTGGTTTGCGATGGATCCGCTTCCACAATAGCCTTCAATACTTCATTATCAACTTAGGTCTCAGGCCGTCCACGGGGCTTGTTCTGCAGGTCGAAATTTCCAGAACGAAAACGTTGGAACCAAAAACGAACTGTGTTTTCTTTTACAACATGACCGCCATACACATCATTCACCCTTCGAGTCGTTTCCGCAGCACTAGTGCCACGGCGGAACTCGTACTCGTAAATAATGCGATACTTTAAGTTTTCCATTTTGTAAAATGAGTGACGCAAACAGAAAAAAACAGAAGAACTGCTCGAGAGCGAAACACCAGCCCTGAGCCACCAGCCAGTCTACGGTCAACCCCAGACCGCTCAATCGTTCAGCAGCCAACACGAGAACACTACATATCCCTGAGTAATAACGGCTTTATTTTTTATATAAATGAAAAATAGACATTTCCAGCTCTGGGAAGCTGTGACAGGCTAGTTTTAAATATTATAGTAAGTCATGTATGAGATTGAAGTGGGCTGATTAAGGGAATCAGACACTATCTCAATTACACATTGTCTTGCTTAATTAAGTATTGAAAATGTATTCTAAACAATATACCAAACAATTCCAATATACATTCGCAAAACAGAACGTCTAAAGTCCTTCTAGCTGACTGATGATGCTTAGCAGCAATTAATCTTCCTTGACCAAATATGCGACAGAATTGTGACCTTAATGACCACGTCACCAATAGAATACAAAGCTGCAATAAAATATTAAAGAACTATATTATTGAGTGGAACCTCAAAACCACAAAATCATTTCTCTCTGTTTGGTCGGTTTCTTTTGCTTGTCTATTTATAAGGATTATTTTTGGAAGTCGAACTCGCAATTCCCAAGGTATATGCAAATACGCGATACGTTATTTGGACAAATTTTGTGTGGTAGGGGAAAGTTCGCGTCTGTACTTTTTAGTAGAAAAAACCTGTTCCACACTCACAATGCCAGAGGCTCGTGAGGCTATTTGCGTTTTCAGATATGGTTACTGGTTCTTCATAAGTATTAGTGCGCGGTAAACAATTTAAGAATTGCTTGTAAAACGACGAATATCGAGGTGATAGGGATACCTGAAAATTACTTCCGTACGTTTAATAATACCATTATCTATTATATTACAATGCGTAACAGTATATCTGCATACAAACGAGCTGTGAAACTTTCTCAACAATATCCTTACAAAATTGCGAACATTGTACGATATATTAGAAATAGGAGCCTCAATGTTATGCAAGTTCCATGTTAACGACGGTATTCGGATATCCGAGGGAAGACGAGGTGTGGCGAACTGGCAAAGTTATAATAAGTTGTGACGACACCTCCGCCGGAGCATTGTCTTTTGATACGATGTGACGCGCTGTTATCGTATAGGGCCATCTCCATACTAAGTTGGTTATTCGTCAAAACTTTATGCCAAGTTTAAGCTCCATTGTAGCCGAGCTTTTCTTCGAACAGACGATGTAAGCCTTTTAATATTTTGCTAGTCTTTACTAGATCGTCTTGAGAGTTTAATATGCTTTCGTTTTTAAGTTAAATATTCAAACTGTATGCATTTTAAGTTTATATAATATCTGCGTACAGAAGTTGTGAAGAAACAAGTGGGTTTATTTTAAGTCCACTCGGAGAGATAAGAGCGTATCAATTCTTAAAAGGCCAGCGCCGCACGGCTATGTATTAACATCAGGCGAAGGCCAGGTGAAGTTTTGGCCTTTTGGTGAAGGTACAGTTTCCATAATTAATATCATTATTAAATATTAAAGTAATATTTCCCTGCCATCTTCATATCAGATTCAACATGAACGTTGCCTTTTTACTTTAATTAAGAACTTTAATTGCTCCCTTTTCTCAAGCTGTGTGTACTGAAATAAATTCTAAGAATTAAATTTAAGATTATCCACTTTATATAAAGAATACACACTTTCATCTTTTAAATAAGTTTAGATTAAAACCCGTAAATCAAGACTGTCTTAAATCAGGATTTTTAATCTAAACAGTGTAATAATTTTATATATGAATTTAGCGTGATTTGAAAAACTCTTTATCATTCTACTGTGCTATTTCCAAACGTTTTAAATTAATTTTCCCTCGATATTATTACTAAGATAACGGTTGTTAAATAATGAAAAACCCTAGACGCTTTCAAATACAATTGCGCCCTGGTTAGGAGGTCATCTGCTAGTTAATATTCAAAGGGTACGATCACGGATTCCACTCGCGTTTCGATTCCACCACCCAGTCTACGAGCTCTCGAATATTCCCTTTTAGCTGCTTAATAGAGTAACGTACGCCTATTCAAAAGCTACCCGAATGAGGCACAAAAACACCAGGCGCAATTTGAAATTCATTTTCAGTTACAAAACTTCATGCGGTGTGAAATTTATTACTGCCACGTTTGAAACCAATGATATATTATGGTTATATTACCTCCGCTTTGGCGTTAGACTAGTTTAATCACAAAATTAGTATCGTTATTTAATACCCAAAGGTATGTATTATGCTCACATTGCCCAATACAATTGTACCCATGAACGTAACCTGATTTCGGATTCATTACTTTACTTTTTAATCAAATTTAATCCAGAATTTTGAGGTTCGCTGGTCCAATTTAACAGCCGAATGAATTTTGTTCAGTCTCGAAGAAGTATTTCAATATAAGCCTTGCCTCCATTGACACGAAGGTCGGATTTATAGGCGCCCAACCGAAGTTTTCACGTTTCGACTAACTCAAAGTAACTCTGAGGATATTCCCATTATAATATGCATATTGTTCTTCTGTATAATATTATTCAGTACTCCATACAGAGCTGATTTAAATATCTGATATGTGCTGAAAGGTACTTCATGTGTTTAGTGAAATTACGATCGTTCCTATATCCCGGCCATATATTGTTTTTAATTATGAAAACTCGTATTACTTGCAGAAATTTTATATGCATATCGTTTATTCAACGAGTGTTACTTTCACTACTTAATTTTTACATCTGTGCTTGATTTAAATATTCAATTTAATGTTTTCTGATATTACAATTCTTTACGTTTAGCATAGTTTAGTTGGACAGTGCAACATAATGAAATTCATGAAACACTTGTTCTTTGACGTCTAAACATTATTATGCTATTTTATAATAGCCATCTTAGCTTGAGGTACCAAGGTTTACTGATTACTTGGATTTTGTATTTCTATTTTTACTAAATTAGTTTCTAATGTGAATAAGTTACATAAGAAAAAAGCGTGTATAGTTTAAAGAGAAAATGCACTTGCCCCGATACTAGGATTCCCTGTGCAGCTAGAATTTTAAATATTATTATTAAAAGTCAATCGACCGTATTCATCTATAGACCGCTGTTTTATTATTTTTAATATGTGTCTCTGTTTTTTTCAGCTGAGACCGATGCGATCATCAGCCAGCCCCAGTAACCCACGGATGCCGTAAGGTCTAGCAGTGGTGCGCAGCCGTCGTGATGAGCACAACCCGCCAAAATGCGTCGGCGGCCATTTTAAACAGGCAACGGATCCGTTTGTCGGCACGAGATGGCCGTCAGCGCCAACGCATTCAACGCGATCATGCGCGTGCGCACCCCGCAGCGTTGTTATGAAATGTGGAAACATTGCAAGTGGCGACAGAAATTACCGAGGACAAACGGGACCTTTAGAGTACCCAGATAGAGATTGTGGCCTAAGTGTTGTGTTGTGTAAATATAGTGGTGTGTAGTTATAAGTATGGAGGGTCGTGGAGCCCGCACGCCGCTGCTCGAATGCGGGGAGTATCACCCGCACAAGACGGCTACCCCGCGATGCTGCTTCTGGCTGGCGAGCCACGTCAATGTGAGGAAATGCGTGGCCGGTGTCATGTTGCTCTCCGTCCTCACCATATTCTTCTATACGTATTACGTGACCGCTCCGTTGACGAGGTAAGAAGTATTACAAGAAATATGAACTATGTAGGTGTATGGAGCAGTTGGCCTAGGGGCGTCAGCGTCCGACCCTCATCCTTGAGCTCGTAGATTTGATCCCCGGCTGTGCACCAATGGACTTTCTTGCATTTGTGTGTATTTAACAATCGCTCGAATAGTGAAGGAAAACATCGTGAGGAAACCGGCTTGCCTTAGACTCAAAAAGTCGACGGCGTGTGGCACAAGAGGCTGATCATCTACTTGCCTATTAGATTTACAAATGATCATGAAACAGATACAGAAATCTGAGGCCTAAACCTTAAAAGGTTGTAGCGCTACTGATTTATTTATGTAGGTGTATTGATGTAGAAAAAAATTAATTATTTAATTTTTAAACTATGTTGTTACTTTTATGTACAAGTTATAGTCCTTTAAAATTACAATTATTTTAAATCCTGCAGCTCATTCTGAGGCACCTGTGACGTCCGACGTCCTTGTGTCTAACCCGAAACTAAATTTAGCTTAACACTAAGCCACCATAAATAATTAATTACGCGAATATAAATTCATCTTTTGAAATCTTTATATTTTGAAATAATATTGTCACAGCTTTTATTAATAAAAACTCAACCGCAAAATCAAGCGTACAAAGTAGATTTAAAAATGACGGCCTACATATTGAGCAGGTCTCATTTGCACACATGATTGATCCATTGCTCTTATGGTTTAATGTGGATTGACGGTGGGAAGCCAAATGACGCTGAAATTTTTGGCGCTATCCGGCATCGTTATCGTAATTGGCTCTCGTGTTAAGGCAACATTAAAAGAAATAGTAAAAATGTTACGATGTGAACGATAAATGCATGGCTATTTTATTCTATCGTGTCTTTTTTATTTAAAAAAAAGTGCGTGCGTACAAAGTACATAGGTCAGAAGTGAAACCTTCTTTGGCAAACTAATTTTTAAGTCTTGTTCATATTTATACCAATCTAAAACTTTAGATTTCCGAGACTCAGAAACTAGACTTAGACGAGGGAGGGAAAAAGGGAGATATGTTAGGCATTTAATAAATTTAATTGTCATTAAAATATTATGTGTCGAAAATTAATACAAATAATATATTTTTTTAATTCGTCATTTGAGATTTCAATAAATTATTTTGCATAAAATATAAAATACTAATCTTCTATAATATAAAAATGAATCGCAAAATGTGTTGACAAGCGCATAACTCAACAACGCCTGGACCAATTTGGCCAATTCTTTTTTATGATATTACTTGAAGTACGAGGATGGTTCTTACGGAGAGAAAAATTAAAAAAAATTGAATGAAAAAGTCTAAAAAGAACACTTTTCTATATTCACATACAAAATATTCGTAATATTACTTAAAAGTCAATTTGACCTTCCGGGAAGGTAAATTTTTAAATTTTGACATAATGTATTTGTCGTCTTATTAACTTTCTTTTTTTATCTTACTAGCTAGACAGGTGTCCCGAATAGCAGAATAAGTATTTAAAAAAAATAAAGAATCGACGGTACGATGTTCGCCAGGCCAGCTAGTATTTCATAAATTCTCTTTACGAAATTTTAAAAACAGAATTTCTATTAGCTAACGCCCTTCTCACTCTCTCTCAATCGGTCTGAATCCCTCTATCCATTTTCTTCGACGCTGCACATCTTCGTGACGCTGATATTATTATCATTGCGTTTCATTCGTAAATTTTTACCCTCATGCGCCTATAGAAGTTTCACTACAAAAATATATATACAAGTTTAAGTAAGATTTAAGAAAAGTTGGTTTCTAGTTTGGTACAGTATATATAACTTACTTTACTTAAAGTCCTATTTTCCCTATTTATAATATAGTTTATTGGGAAACAGTTTAATGATTAAGAGGATACGTTGAATTTCTGATATCTTTGGCGATCAAATAGTACTTATTCTCGTCGAGACGAGGTGGGGGATTAGTTGATGGTTCTAAGAGCCGATCGGAATATCTGATACGCGAAACGCAGGTACAACCTACGTGTTTAAGCTCCAGTTTGATTTTGAAAACACTTACTAAATGAATCCATCGATTAATATATAAAATTATCGTGTCACAGTGTTCGTTCCAATACTCCTCCGAAACGGCTCGACCGATTCCTATGAATTTTTTTATGCATATTCAGTAAGTCCGAGAATCTGAAATCTTTCAAACCAACCACCGTGACCACGCACGCTGTAAAGCACGCGAAACGTCGGATAAATTTAAAATTATGTTAAATAGTTGTAAATTTATAATAATACATAACTTCAATCCGGTCAGACAGTTTTTTCTTTAAATGTGTAAAGGTTATGTAAATCAAAGACAATACTATCTTTCAAACCCCTAAGTGATAAAGGGTGTCCACCCCAATATAATTTTTTTTTATTTTTTATTTTTTTATGATACAGCATACAAAAATACATACAACCTCTAATTTTTACCTCTCTACCATCAACCCCTATTTTTTATTATTGTAGATAGTTATTTTTATTGAACTAAAAAAATGTTTCCTAGAAATAATATACATGGCAAAACAACGTTTGCCGGGTCAGCTAGTACATATATATATTTGCTATGTAATTTTTTATGTGCGCAAAACTGGCTTAAAATCGAAGCTAGAAATTAAAACAACGTCGATCACGATTAATTACTCTGGCGGAAAACGTCATTTGCACAAAATCCAATTTACTTGATAACTGTAGCGAGCAAACATGATGCTTTTGTAAAATTAATTTGAAATTATCGTACTTGGTCAGTGCTACAACTGAGGATTAGCCAACCATTGTGCGTATCGTGAAATAATACGCGTTATTAACGCATATTAACTATAAATTTTCGATTTAAAACGGTGGACGGTGGCTCTTTATAGTCAAAGGTTCGGTCAAGCAACGAAAAGACTTTGGGTTCTTTTGAATTATCATTTTATTTGGATTCTGGCTACTATCTACTATCACTTAACAAGTGACAAAGATAGTAGCTCAAAAAAAACTTATATAAGAAAAGTTAGTCCTATTTCCCCCAAGTGAGGCAGAGGGCATCCAGCGTAGAAAATCAGTCTGGTCCTTTATTATGTATATAAATGAGGTTTTAATTAATTTATTCACAGTAAAAATTACGAGGAAACAGATAAATCTGTCACGTGTAAAAACAAGGCATTGCAGGTTAGGTACATTGAGTAAGGTCCATATCAAAGGCTGCTAGATTAGTTATGAATTAATCCATTTGATGAATATCAATCTTGCAGATCACATCGTGTCAAAGGATCTTATACATTTTCCCGTATTGCATTGATAAGAGTTACTTAAGCCTTAATGGATTCAAAAGTTATAACTTTAATTATAAAATTATAACGTTTCTCAATTGGTTATACTTTTTAACAATGTATATTTCTGTCTATTTTAAGTATTTCCTCGTAAATTCATCCCGAGTAAAAATATCGAACTCATGTCAACGGTGTTCCAGAATTTTTTTATCATAAGAAGTGTCAGAGTCCAGACTAAATTCCCGCTGGCTTCAGTATAAAATCCATAACTTTTGACATATCAGATTATGTCAAGTACCAGAAACTAAATGACAGCAACTTGGTAGGTAGGTTATTAGAAAATTCCAAGTACCAATACAATTAGTCCTAAAATGGAAATGTATTTTATTAAATATTAAATTCAATACAACAGTTGTGGACTTTCCTATTGTTGGATAGTTTGACACTGTTAAGCTTGTTTCGTTAAATATTGTTGAATTATTAATATTTTAAAGGAATTGTTATTCAGTTATTTTAGAAGGGAAAGTGATTAATTTGATATTATTTTGAAATGGAACGTGAGACAATGGGTACTGTGCCCACTGTGTGTTGGGGTTTCATTGACTATTTAGTCTTATGTGCTCTCTGAAACTTTATTGTTTCGCCGAAAATCAATCCTAGAAGATAGGTAGTAGTAGGGAGTAGAAGTAGGACAATTTCAAAAGAAATTATAAATTGCTTAAAATATTACTGAGTTATAAAACAACATGAAGCAGAAAATTTAATCCCCAACCCTTGTATTAAAATGTAAACGTAATGTGTGGTTAATCAGTCCCCAATACAAATGTGTATGTTGTTATATTTTAAAATTAAAAAAAATTACTAACTCATTAAAAGTAATAAGTAAGTTTCTTGTTAACGAATGTACGAAGTGAGATATAAAATCAGTTCAAATTTAACGAAAAGCGAAATCTACTGGCTGTGTTAACTTAAAGTATTTAAGTTTCCGACGACCGCTCTCTTCGTGCAAAGTTTTGCTAAATTAGAACTTGTGTGCAGTAATTATTTGGAAATCGATGATGGATCTCTTCTACTTCTAACTTTTGTGTCCTACAATTGTCTATATGTACTTTGTTGCTGATGTTTGCTATCCTGTTAGCCGCTCATTGAGATACGGAGAAAGCACATTTCTGAGTCCGTTTTGAAGGACCATTTTATAAATACTTAATTCAGTGCCAGCTCAAAATTTGTTATCACAGAAATTAAATTCATAATCTCCATTATTCGCCATCTGCGTTAACCAGTAGCCACAGAGGCTTTATAAAGTACATTCTCTATGTCTTCCGTTTGTATGTTTCAACTTTGAGACCGAAGGCAATTTAGCAGTGGTTAGCATTTTATAAAATATGGTTTTACAACATTCGTTATACGATGCTCCGTTTAGTTCCGAGTCTGATCACGGAGCAACGTCCAAGTTTTTCGTATAAATATAGTGATAAACGTTTATCTTATTTTTGCTGTTATGTTCCGTGTATTGTTGTTATTAAGCATTCCTCGTTCAAGGTTCTATTAAGATTCGTCTTGATGCGATGCGATAGTTTACAGAAGTTCATTTAATTAGAAGGCTTGTGGATAAGACGATAATTTTATTTTATCTCTTTAAGTTATACCGCTAAGAGAATTAGGGCAGTAAGTTCGGCGGACCCGAGTTATTTATAGCAAAAGTTGTGTTTTCACTAATTAATGGAAGACGTTTTGGTAATTTTTTTGGGGATTTTCAAATTGCGGACTTAAATTTCGTTCATTTTCAGCGTTAACTAATTCAATGGTTTGGTTTTAAGTAATAAGTTTAAAAGTGGTTTCAACTCGAGTAAGAACCAGAGCAGAAAAAAATATTATTGGCAAGATTTTTTTTGTATAATACGTACGTACGTAAAATACATCCTTATTGTTTTACTATTAGGGTGTACTTTACAATAAGACAAATATTCCTTTAACTGTCAAATAATTTTTCGGTTTTACGTCTATATAATATAAATATTCATTAGTATATTTTTTTAATTTCTATTCAATGTCTTATTTATAATCCGAATCATTCAAAACGCGTGACTAAAATCCTGTAAAGTAAAATGGCCATCAAAAGTAATTTAGGTTAATTTACACCAACGATTCACGCCCTACACCAGTCATGTTAATGAGAACCTTAGCCGAGTTATTCCTGTAAGTCGTTATGCTATTGCTATCCGCATTTGATTGCTATTAGCAACTGCGACAAGTAGCAATCGCGTGCTGGGCATTTTAACTTTACAAGGGCGTTTCTTAGACCGTTAAAATGTTTTATTTATTCTCGTTTCGAAAACTGAAGTTCTCGTACTCTTGTAAAAAGTACTTGTCAATCTAGGTACATAACAACTATATATTTACAGTCATATGCATGTGTTCTCCGTTTTATTAGCAAGTAATATGCGCTATTATTAACAAATTAAAATATTTACATATACATACTAAGCCTTTTGCTAGGTTTTGTGTTTTTTTTACTATTCATTAGTGAATTTTATAATCTAAGGCACCTCAGTCAGCTTAAAGGTCGTGCATTCCATTCCTGGCTCAATTGTTTTCTTTGACAGACACAGATGGCGTGGCTTCAAAAATGATAATGAAACACTTGTTTATATTGACTGGAAGTAAAATATACTTTAATTCGAAGAAATAATGTTGTTATCTACACGAGGAAATGACAGTGATACAATCTTGTTATTAGTAAAAAATAGAAAAAAAAACCGGTGGTGCTACAACCTTTTTAGGTCTGGGCCTCAGATTGTTGTATCCGTTTCATGATCATTTGTCAATCTAATAGGCAAGTGATCAATCTCCTGTGCCTGACACACGCAGTTGACTTTTGAGTGTAAGGCAAACCAGTTTCCTCATGATGTTTTCCTTCAAAGTCCATTGGTGTACAGCCGGTAATCGAACCTACGACCTCAGGGATGAGAGTCGCACGCTGGAGCCCCTAGGCCAATACTGCTCTTGCTATTAGTGCATGTACATGAATGTGAAATAGAAACTGTGATTAGTTGCGAATCGTACAACTTCCGCTTGCTTTATTTCGTAATAACACTAATGATATGATTCCAGCAAAGAGGCCACAACTCCCGCCTATGGATAAATATTTCCCGGAATTCCTTTTATTTATTCCAACGTTCAGATAAACCGTAATGGCTCTTTGATGTGGCTTCAACTTGAATCGCAGCTAACTTCGCCAGTCTTTGATTGATTTTCATCAAAATTTCAGTGGAAGATTACGAACTAATCAATTTGCGGCAACTTTAATTACAATTTCGTATATTTTATGCAAAATTACTTTGAGGGTAGGAGCGTATAACTTTAAGTGATTAGAATTTTTTTTAATAATTTTATACAAGTAGGCTTTGCAGAATATTTGAAGCTGTCCGATTTAGTTTATAAATTTCAGATACTAGGTATGATACATTAAAATACATTATCTGTCACACTGTTTATTCCTTGTTATCTGTGTGCCCTTCTTTGGCTAGTTAGAATAGGCATTAATATTTCGTATTTAACTGTTTTGTATTTGTCACTCTTATACTAAAATAATTACCCAACAATTCTATACTGTTAATAATATACCAAGGGTAGTGAAGTCAAAAACAGTTTTAAAAGTAGTAATAATAATAGTAAAACTGTTAACTCCAGTCCAAACAACGAACACATCTCAGCGCACTTATATTAATTAATTACTTTTATTTACTTAAAAATCTGTGTTAGACTGTTCATATTATATTGTTTCTGTATCTTCCATCCATCATTCATACATACCATTCAACTAAAATAAATATTTATTATTCCCACTACACTACCCAATAATACCTCCACCGATAATTCTACAATTAAAAATACAGTTTATTTATTTCGTAATCCTACAGCTAATAAACATAAATTATATATAACAAAAACAATTATACTAAAGATATATATATATATATATCCAAAGATGGAATACATACTATACAAAAAGGTTCAAACAGTTATGAAAGGAAAACATAATAAAATTGATTAAATACATTTAACTAAGTATGTAATACCTAAGTTGGCTGTATTACGTGATGGTGTGGTGGTGTGGACGTGAGGGTGTGTATGTGCGGTGTGCTCATGATGCAGGTGATTTAGCGCTATGGATATTATTAAGTTAGTTGAAAGATGAGATATTGATAAGTTTTAATATTGTATTTTCTCCAACAGCCTTGTATGGAGAGATCGAGTTCCTCGGCCGCTGTCGCAGTGTTCCCTCCTTGCATCGCAGCAGCAGGCCCGGGATCACCGATCAGACGCGCGTCTGCGCATCGATGCAAAAGTCCTGGTTATCGCTGAGTCCTTATACTCGCGGCTTGGACGAGACATCGCAGAATTGCTTGTCGCTAACAGAATACGGTATGTAATTATCTGGAAAACTGAATTACATAACAATATGTTGTGGTCTATAAATTTACAGTAGTATTGGCTTACGAGGGGAGCTCTAGGCCTTCGTGTTAATTTTCTTGAGGAAACTTTTTGTCTTTCTTGTACAGGCTTTCCCCACTATATATATACGGACCATATTTTATAACGCCAAGTATAAGTAATTGTACTTTTTCGCCTCTTTATGTCAAAACGTGTTTGCGCTGCAATGAGACGTATCAAAACGGTGATTTATGTGATTGAATTGAGTCTTTAGTTTTAGTTAAAGTTATAAGTGAAAGCGCAGTTTGTCCTAAATCGATTGAAACTTAATCAAACCAAACAAGGACTCAAAGAGATTGTATATGGCACAATTCAGTGCGTTGTATAATATTCAAGCGTTATATTACACAAGCTTAATAATTTATATCAAGACAGAACTATAATTTCACAGGATTTAATATATTTCATATTGACTATATGAGTCAATGCGTTCAATTTGTGTCGGCCTTTTTTGAGGTTTACATTACATGCTCTGAAGACCTCTTGACCTTTGAAACTAACGTTTGACCGAGGGAACGCTTAGGTCACCTTTGCGAAGAACGTTAAATAATTCACAACGCGACATATACATATCTAGACTTGGAATACATATTGCTATTACTACACGAGAGTACTACTTTTTTAAAACCTTTCGCCCATTAATTTATTTAAATATTTTTAATGTATTCATGACAGAAATATGGTTGTGACAAAATTTATCTATCGCTAGTCCTGTGATGTGGGTAACTAGATAATTATTCCGTGGTGCATGTTTAAAACATTTCCCTTAAGTTGTTAAACTAATCAAACACAATTCGTATAAGACATTAAGTATGCGTGAATGTGTGAGTATGTCAATGGGTATGTGTGCGTATTTATTCGAGTGAAGCTGAGAGTTCATAGTAAGGCCTCTGTAGATTCGAAATTCTATTTTAAGAATACTTTACAGCATGCACACTGGAGACCACACATATAGTACACAGTTGTATATTCTAAATGTAAATGTAAATATCTTATGAGTTGAGCTCACATGAACCACAAAAGGCAATGGACCAAACACGGTCATGATAAATTCAATAAAACATCGAACGAGGGATTGGCTTACTTATCCAGATGCGGCCCTAAAGGTCCTTAGGAACAAAACTCGTGCATCTAGTACTTTCATTAGTATGCAGTTTCAATAGCCGGCATTACAATCGATATCGTCGCTGGAATAAATAAGCTTAAACAACTTGGATCCGACTTGGAATTTATGCGACTCTTGTTTAGAATATGTTAATAGTATTTTACTGTTATTCAGGCCTTGGCACTTAAGTGAATGTAATTTCAATGTTTTATATAATTGTTGCTTTTTTAATATATTCTAATGCCTTGTAGTTTACGGTCATACATATCGTCACTGTAGGTTGATAACCATGTCAAAACCATTTATTTAACTGGTATAATCCTGAAGTAAGGACTTTAATGTTATTAATAAATAAGTACATTCAAAACTATGGACAAAAACACATAATAATATTTTAACGAACATTGACAAAATGAAACATTTTTTACGTTTCCTGTAATGTTTGGTTCTCTGGACATACGATGTTATCATTTTACAGGGACGATATGAAATATTCCTATATTTTTTAGTTAATAAATTGATGAACAATTGGGTAAATTACTAACGACTTTTTTTTGTCTTAATTGTATACATTGTTAATCTTTTATTTTAGTTATAAATGACCTCTATCACATTCATATGTAGCTCTAGCAGATCTCTCTGTAGTGCCAGTTGTGGCTGACATATAATATTGTTGTGTTAACCAATAAATATATAACATATACACGACTTGCTATCGTATTTCAAAGCCCCTTCTGACCCCCGAACATTACACATAGTTTAGAATCCCTGGAAGGAGATATTTTTGTATAATGAAACTAAGAAAGATATTAGATGTTTAATAGTATGGGTATAAGAAAATGAAAAGTGGGCTGGGCTTGTGGCCAGGTAGCGACGACAGGTGGACACAAAGACTGATGATATGTTCAACTCCACGAGGCTCGAGATAGAGAGGCTATGACGGCGGGGGAAAGAAGGCTGGAGATAGCAAGAAATAGAAAATTGTGGAATGCCTTGGAGGAAGCTTTTACCCTTGGGTCTATATAAATATAAATACATGTTATATTTTTTTTACTATTAATGTCGTGTGTCGTACATGTGTTTGTATTTTTATGGAATAAAATAAAGTTATATTATTAATATATACGTAGATAACGATGCTCAGTTATATTCAGTGTATTCATAATTAGATCACGAATGATTTGAGGACGAATTTTGCAAAGTATACGAGAGTAGTATTCTACTTTTTGACGGCATCGTAATGTGATTAATATCGCCGTAGGGTATTGATCTAATTTGTTGAATATCTTAACCAAAATGCTATCATTGTGTCTATTGCATTTTATATACTAATAACACAAAAATTTTGTTATATGACACGTATTTACGTAACCATATTCTACCTTGTCGGACAAGCGCAAATCAAAAGCGCGTGGGTCAGTAAGAAAACAACAAGAAAAGCTCCTTGCCAGCATGCAATGGAAAGAAGCATCCTACAGTTGAGAATAATAAACAAACAGATACACTTGTAAACGCTCTAAGGCTTTGATAGAAATGTGCTGGTCATATTTCTAGAGCGCGGGTTAAAAGATGGACAATTGAAACAACAAAATGGAGTGGACCTACTGGAAAGAGATGTAAAGGACGACAAAAGAAAAGAAGGACAGATGGCGAAATAAAACTAGCGGGGAAAAACTGCATAAATGTTGCTCAAGACATAGAGAAATTGAAAAATATGGAGAAGGCTTCGACCCTAAAAGGAAAGGCGGTTGAACAGGCATTCCCTGAAAAAAGTCAAAAGTCATAATAAGTTATTCATATAGGTAACACAATGTACGCGTGATCGTCAAAAAAAAAATTAAATGTTTCTAATTTTACATTTACTGCCAGTTCTCAAATTAAGGGCGTAGAACGGAAGAGAAGAACTGGCAATAAACTCTCCGTCACTCTTTAATAGCCAAGGATTTTGTTTTACACAATATTTGTAAGGAGCTGCAACCACATGACATTCATTAGGCCACATCTCACTTAACATCAGGTAGGCCATTTGTGTGTTGTCTGTCTAGTTCTGTATATAAAAAATAAAAAGGGCCATAGAAATACAAATACAATCAAAACTTAATTTTGTGAAATTTTACTCAATTAAAGTAAATAGTATTAGTACTAAGAAATGTCAACTAAACAATAATTATTGTATGTATAAATTAATGAAAATTTAATAATAATAATAATAATTTACGTAACCTACGAACGTTTCCGTAATCATTATTTATAGCTTTAATATACTTAATAGCAAAAAGCTTGCCGATTAAGGACTTGTAAAAGCAATTTTGCCGAGTATCTTTTAAAATGTTTAACGTATATTTACCCCGGCCCGCTTTGTTGATGACTATTACGTACAATGTTTACGGACTGTGAAGTGCTTGGCTGATAGCATGTGCAGGTTTTGTTCAGGATTTCTGCAACTGTACAGGCTTTTGAATTGACTTCAAAATAAGGATGATCTTTATAATTTATTAACAAGCATTCGTGGTAAATTTTGTTTATGTTTAATTTTCTTGGACACTCGTAATGTCGAGGTATTCTTTTTAGTTTGTAATTTCTAGATAATTCCCCGACTATGTTGTCGTCGGATGTATTATATAACTTACGTATATGGACAACTTAAGTAAATGGTATTATGTATATATGTATAATTGTAACCCGGATGTTTAAGCACTACTACCTATTTTCTTTAACAACTTCTATAACTCTCGGCTCTCATCCCTGAGGTCGTAGGTTCAATTCCCGGTTGTGCACTACTGGACTTTCTTTCTATGCGAAAACATCGTGAGGAAACCGGCTTGTCTTAGACCCAAAAAGTCGACGGCGTGTGTCAGGCTCAGAAGGCTGATCACATATTTGTCCATAAGATTGGTAAATGATCGTGTAACAGATTCAGAAATCTGGGGCCCAGACCTAAAAAAGGTTGTAGCGCCACTGATTTATTTTATTATTTATCCAGGTGCCTCTTAACCTATTGTTGAACATTACTTCTTTTAAATTCGTCTCTGTTACTTTTATTCCAATTTATTACCTATTTATTGCCTTGTTCAGTTATAACTGTACTGTATTAGGTATATTATCAAGTCCTTATCCTTTGGATAATACAGGTTCACGCCCTTTATTATGTTCTTGTGTAGTGGTCTTCTATAACTGGACATCTTCGTTTTTTAGTATGAGTCAAACACGCCATAGAATGAAAAGTCTTGGCCCTTATCGTATAGATTTAAAATCTATGTTATTTTGTATTTTATTTAAAATTATAGTAAATATGAGATAATATGTCTGTATGTTAGATCATCGTAGATGTCAATCGTCTTGTTGGAAAAATTGTTCACTACTTGAAACTTATTGCAAAGTTGTTGGAGACGGCTAAGCTTGTTTGTGAAGTTTGACGTCTAAGGAATTAGTTTCCTCAACATTTTTTCTTGAATTTAAAAAATATGATTTTTCTTAGTAAAAGAGGTTTTTATATATAGAAAATAAAGCTTGTTAGTAGGAATACCAATCATATAAATAATATGCATTAATAAATAAGATTTTATTGTATTTTTCATTTCATAACATTTCATTTGGTTGGCATAAAAACAATTTTTTGATTGATTGGTACAAGTAAAATATAAAACGATATTTAATGTGACAAGCACTCAAAGGCAAACATTGTTGTTCGGATTAATACTTGCAGCTGAGTTTCATCATCGCACGTGGGGCAAAATACGAAATTTCACCCGTATCACCTCGACGTCCGTGGTTCCACAACTGAGCGTTTTTTAAAGCATTTTGTTTATTTTTTTTCTTCGAAAAT